CTACCTTGCTTGGTGATATTGCTTTGTTCATTGTTGGTTTCCTGACTGGTGCTTTTGATGAAGATGACGCCCCTGTTTCTTCCTGTGCTGTTTCTGCTTCATCTACATTGGGTGTCTTGTTGTCTTTGTGGATGTTGATTGTTGCTCCTAATGCTTGTGGTTGGGGTTGCTTTCCTCTTACTCTTCTTGCTTTGGGCGGTTTGGTGGTTGTGGATGGGTCTTCCTGAAATTCTCTCTTCTCCTGCGTTGGCGGTTTTGGTTTCTGTCTCTTTGCTTTGGACTGTCTCACGCTTAAGGGTTTCCTCTTTTCTGCTGTTGGTATTGCTGTTGTGTCCATTGCTTCTGCGGTGTCCGGCACTACATCTACGTTCATCTTTGATTTTTCCTCCTTTAACTTCTTTTGGTGATTTACCTTTTTGACTTGTTTGTTGATTAGTTTTTGTGTTGGTTTTATCTTGGACGGTTTCTCTTCCTCGTCTTCGTCGGGTATGATGGCATCTGTCAGTTTTGATGCTATTAGTCCTCCTATTGACCCTCCCTTTGCTGTTCCTCCTGCTGTGGCGACTGCTTTGATGACTGGTTTGGATGATTTAAGGAAGTTCTTTAAGATGCTTCTACTGCTTGAAGGCGGTTCTTCGTCTTCTTGTATCCCTGCCGATGCTGTTGCTCCAACGGCGTCGTATGTTCCTTTGTTTGCCATATAGTGGTCTTGTGAATGACTTAAATTTGCCTGTTCTGCTACTCTCCTTTCGTTCTCTTCCCTCAACTCTGCCTCTCTGTCAAAGGACATCTCAAAGTCGCTGATGGCGTCGTCCCTCAAGTCTGTCATATCTTCAAAGTCAAGGTTGGGTGTTTCTTCTTCCTTCCTTGCGGTCGCTTCCTCTGCCATCTTTTTGAAGTTCATTTGCTGTAAGTCTGCTGGGTGGATGTTGTTTGTGTTCAGTGCTTGACCCTGCGGACTTTCGTGAAAATACCAAGCGTTCCTATCAAAGATTTTTCTGATGTCATTGGTTTTGAACTTTTCCCTGTCTATTTCCTTGATGAGTTCTGCGTAAGTGGGTATTCGTGTCAATCCCTGTTTTGCGTTGATTACTTCTGCTGTCATTGCTATATATTAATACTTTAGATTTTTATATTAATCTTGTGTATCGCCTCTCAACCACTGATTATACTCATCAATTCTCTGTTTCATATTCTGGACGTTCGCCCCGTAATCTTCCAATCTGTGATTTTTCCTCACCTCCCTCAACCTTGTCATTTCATTCTGTAGCATCTCATTCTCTTCCTTCATCCTCTGCTTTACTTGTAAGACCTTGTAATCGTGCTCCGTGTTGTGATATTCAAGAAGACGCTTCAGGTAAAGATGATGGTTGTGAGTTGGCATCCTTGCCGTGTTGCTGTCGTTGTGGTAGTAGTGGTCATAACTACTATACACTTTTTTTCTTCTGTCTGGCATTTCGGGCGTTCCGCTCCTGTAGTTGGCACTTTTGTTTGAATGGACGGTTTGTCTTCTGTTGATGTCCTTGCGGACGTTTTCGTAGATGTCAGTTTTGTTGAGTTCCGTTTTCTGTTCCTTGATGTTCATTTTTATATATAATACTTTATAAAATTTTTGATGCTAAAGATTTCAATTTCTCTCTCGTCGCTTTGTTCTTTTCCTCTTTGGCTTTGTTGTAGGTGTCTCTGGCGGTCATTGCACTCTGTAGTTCTTCCTTCAGTTGCTTTACAAGGTCGTTTTTGAATGCTTCTGGGTCAAAAGGTGGTTTCGCCCTTGACGGTCTTACCCTTTTGGGCTTTGGCGCTGGTTGCGGTTTCTTTTCAACGGGTGGTTCAATTGTTTCTTCTGGTTTCTCCTCTTCTTTCGGTGCTTCCCGATAGGAAGCAGGGCTTTGCCGTGCTTCTTCCTGTATTGGTTCTGGTATTGTTTCTTCCTTGGGTTCTTCATTATCAATCTCTTTTACGACTACCTCTGTCATATATTAATATTATAGATAATTTTTTATACTTTCAAAATCTCGTGCCTCAAATACGGTTTGTTCAATCCTTCCAGTTTGAAGGTTCTGTTTCCGACATCATCGTATTCTATCTTGACAATTTTGTAGGATTGATTGCTCCATTTTGAGTTATACTCCTTCCTCTCGGTGTAGTTGTCTTTTTTCTTCTCAAAGACCTTGACCATATCATTCACTTTGACCTCTGGATATTTGCGAGTGTTCTTTTCCCTCCTTGTCAAATTCACCCTGACGTCCATATGGTTCTTGTCGTCGTGGGCATCCTTGGGTTTCATTTTGGTGGATGAATGGACGGTGTCGTTGTATTTATCTAACGCTTTGGACAACATTACAGTCCAACTACCGCGATTAAACCTCACCCTGTCGTGTATCATATTCTTCATTGTCCTTATGAAACGCTCCACAACATTGGCGTGAGTTAGGGTGACGACGTGAGTGATGCCTTCTTTCTCAAAGAACTCTTTTACCCCTGCTTGGAAGGCACGGTCATTATCACTATAAACGGACATTGGAAAACCCATTTTGTTGAAACTCTCTTTCATCGCCGACAATGTGATTGGTCCGGATTTTTCTTTCATAGGGACGACGTTTGCCAACTTGCTGAAGATGTCAATGACCACCAACCCATATCTCGGTTCTCGTTCTTGATGGGAATTTTCGTCTCTGGTTCTTTGGTAAGGGGTTTCATATCCATTATGTCAATCTGATATTCAAACCTTGCGAAGGGTGCGGTGTAGGAGTTTGACCCCCTGTATTTTCTAATCTGTTTGTTGGGCTGTTTCCTCATAAAGTTTTCCACATCCACCCTGTTGATGGTCTGGTCTTGCTCCTTGGCTTTCTTAAGGGTCTCATTGATTGAACCGAAGCCCGTTTCAAGATTATAATAGACATTGCTTATGATGTCATCTCTTGATAGTCTCCTTGCCATATATTATAATATTAGATTTTTAAAATTATCAACAATAAAAAATATACTTAAAGAAAAATACCTATATATAGTAAGACTAAATAAGATGACTAAATTTGACTGTGGATGTCGTATAATGACAGATGTTATAACCCTGAACGATAGAAACCAACCTAATTGGAACTACTTGCTCAAAACCTTCGTGAATGTGTGTGGCAAGTGCTACAAGAAGCAAATGAAATTCCAATATATGGAAAACAAACTTATGGAAATGGAAAAGCAAAGAATGGAAATGTTTTTGGAAAATGAGGATGAGGAGGAAGACACATACTTTGACCTGACAGAGTTGAAGGAACATCTCAAAACCCTCCCACCCAATGAAAGACATAAAGTGAAGGATTTTGAGAGGTTAAGAAACCTCGCCAATGGACAAGACCCCAACGAAGGAATGAGTGAAATAGATATGGTCATAAGAGAACCGGAAGAGGAGGAAAGGGAAAATAAAAACCAACCCGAGCCCGAAAACTGAACGAGCCCCCCAAAAACTACTTAAAGAAAAATTACCTATATATAGTAAGAGGATGCTATTTACCTATAAAAACTGTGGATGTTGTAAAAAAGAAATGACTGACATTAAGGTTTTATTGAACAACATTTTTCCTGCTGGAATTTGTGATGAGATATGTGATTACAACCTTCACTGTTCAAAATGTAAAGAGTTGAATGATAAGGAACGCAGATATATAACATTCAACTATCATTTTGACCATTTTGAAGAGAAAGAACTAACAAGAGTTGAAAAACAAATACATTTCTTTAAAACAAGGATGGAAAAATCACCTATCTATTTATCCAACACCGACCGAACAAATGTAAGAGTAATGAAGAGAGAAATAGACGCTTTAATGGACACCTATAAACTGAAGGTAGAATTTCAAAAAGATAAGATATATCTTCAAGCGATTAAGTCTTATGTCAAAAACCATTGGAAATACACTTATCATATTCTAAAGAACTTTCACGACCTTAATTTCATCAATTACAGTAAGCAACGAAGATGCTGGTGGTTTCCTAATGTTGAACGAACTTTTATGTTTAGAAACAGGGAGTTCAAGATAAAAGACATTTTGGAAATTTTCTTGCGTGAATATGTTGAAGAACTGTTCAACGGTTATGAGAAATATTTGAACATAGAAGAAATAAAAGAGCACCTACAAAAAGTGATAAATACTTAAAGAAAAAATATCTATATATAGTAAGAGTAAGAGAAAATGAGTAGAGCAAAAATTGAGGTTATAGATACAGGGAATATTGGTATATATGCTGACTTTGGTAGTGATAGTGAGGACGATGATTGGGAAAGAAAACAAATAGAAAAAGAAGATGAAGAGATTAGAGACTTTGTAAAGTGCCATCCTATGCCTTCACCAGATGATGAGGAAGGAGAAAAGTTTTGGAAGAAAGTAATTGATAGGATGAAATCAGGGGAAGGGGTAAAGGATATGACGATATATATGTTTGTAAATTTTTACATTATGAAAAAGATGTATGAAAACCTGACTGATAAAAAAATCATCATTGATTGTGGAAAGGAACTCAACCGTGATGGTGAATTCAACGCAATGATTATTAACATAACTCTTTTATCAATAGCGATGGATGAACTGAATGATACAAACAAACCCTGCTTAACACAAATGAGAGTGATTGAACACTGGTGGGATGGAATAGGAAAGTGGAAAGCATAAATTATTAATTCATAATATCTTAACAACACATATTATGAAGTAATCACCCACCCAAACACAAACAAAAACCCCAACAGCCTAAACAAATCCTACCCCCATTCAATCCAAACATTGACACATCACTTTAGCAACAAAATTACCCCCAAAACCCCACCTGAAAAAACATCAAAGGCGAAGATGAAACATTGAACCCCAACACAAAATCATAACAAGCAACATACAAACATATACGCCCTGAAACCCCCCATTTTTCCATTTTTTTTCTGGGATTTGCTTTCAGATTTCTTCATGAGACATCACCATTGTTGGTTTTGATCTTTGCAACTTTGCCAGCTCTCTGCTGGAACCTTGAAGCTGGCCACCCTGGGTGGCTTTGGAATCTGGTGGCTCAGCATGGCTCAGTGGGTCCTGTGCGACGAGAGGACAAAGATAACATGACGGGGTCGGCACCATATTACATCCACGATTGGAGGCATTTAGTGGAAACCATGTGCTGAAAAGTGATTGGTTCTGAGTTTTATAGGTATCCAAATTGCTTCCTTTTGAGATTTTTCAGAGATCCAAAGGTATCCAAATTCCAAATCGTCACCGTTGGGGAGGCACCCATAGCGCTAAGGTGGCTTTGGGACATCATGTGGATTGGTTCAGCGCCGATCTACACCAGGACCGGTGGCCGGCCTCGTCTCGTCGAAATATTGACGACTGTTTCCAGAACTTGGTTTGCTCATGTTTGCTCACATTCTGAACTGACTCAAACCGCATTATAACACATGCGTCAATCATTGTGTTTGCGTCAAGCGGATGAGTCAGATATGTTTTGTTCGATCCATCCCAGATTCCTCAGTTGCCGCCGCATTTGCAGGCAACACGGACGTTTGGCTGCAGATCTGCCGCATCACATCTTCGTCATTTTGGCTGTTTGGGACCCACCTTCCAGTACTGCTGGAATCTTGATGAATACTTGAATATACTTGAACAATATCTATGAATATCTTATTCAGAAAGACTGTTTGTTCCGAAATGCTTCTTACAAAGTTGGCTTGCCTCTTCAGATGGACTCCAACAAAAGGTCCCTCAGATGGCCGTTTTCGGAATTCGGCATGTCTTGAAGTTGCGATGAGGTCATTTGGGTGGCCTTGATGGGCTATTTCATCTTCGGAGTGGTGGGCGCCATGTGGCACGAGAGTCGAATTCTGCACCGTGCCCTGCTGAAGGCATCGGTACTGAGAATTTTCTCCATTGGGATCCATCGGGACAAGATCACAGGCACAGGTTACCAAAAGATTCCAACAGGGTGCAGCTCGGAATCCGAAGTGTGATCCAACAGGCTTGCCAAATGTGTAATATATTGTAATAATATGTAATATATGTATTAGATTTAAGTAGATTTAATATGTTCTGTTTTGGTCGGCGACACCCGGGGTCAGGTGGAGCAGATCCACCATCACCTGGCCAAGCAACGGCTGACTCAAAACGAGGCTTGGGAGGTGACCATCGCTTAGATGATATGTGCAATACATGTTGATAACATTTGATAACTTGAACAGACATACACATTTAGACATACACATTTATGATATTAATCATGATATTAATTTACACACATCTATAGATAAGATCTGGACTGCAACCTCCTTCCACGCCACAATGTCGATATATGTCAATATGAAACCAGCAATCCTTGGAGCCTCGAGATGCCTCGAGGACATGGAGGGAATGCCGACAAAGGCAGGATTGAGAGCTGCTGCCGCGTATTGAGAGGAAGTTTGTCTTCTGTCTGGAGGAAGAAATGATGATCTGATGATTAGGATATGAATTTCTCAAAATGAAAACACAAAATCATACAAAATCTCAATATGTCAAGATGCTGGCCATGACCAGGCAACGATCCGCGTGGCGGCGCCGCTGACTGGGCCACGTGACTTCTACGGTTCTATGGCGCAGACGGCTCCAGAGGTGCAGCGGAACATGATCGGCCAAGGAGATGTTGAAACAGACGGTGTGAGATGATTTGAAGTCCAGAAGTTTAAGTGAGTCGTCAAGTGAAGTTCAAGCTAGTCACATAATATTACATATTGTTACAGACTCTTAATTAATACTATATCATACCCAAAGGAAGTTTAGAAAAAACACTTCCGACTTATGGACAGATGCAGCAACAGTGTGAGAGCAGCCAGAGACGAGAAAGCGACAGCAGAGAAAGAGTCAGAAGAGAACGAGTCAGTAGAAAGAACATCAAGGTGCGCGAAAAGGTAGAAAAGTTGCGAAACACTGTTTTAAGGCTCCGGAGGGTCGAAAAGTAGGCTCGCTAAAGCGGCGGGTGCGGAGCCATCTGGGGAGATGAGAGATGAAAAATTGCACGCCGTTGTGACGCCAAGCACAAGTTGAAGTCAACAAGCTTAAAAGCAACTCACGTCCGGAGCACTTTTGGAAGTTGAGATGTTGAACAAGCGCACACCGTTGTGGCGCGAAGCACATTTCGAAGTCAAAACGTACAACACATCATGCATCAGTGGATTCGCTCTGCCATCCATGCATCACGCACCATCACGTTGTGCGGTGCTACTGTACTGGTCTTGTACACTGTAATATATATATACACATAATGTTGAATCATGTCACGGTAATTATAACACATTATAACTTATAACACTTAGATTCGGATTTTGATGGTGGTTAGCACTATGCGATCCTCTCTGGCATGAGAAGCTGGAATGATTTTGCCCTTGGGCGAGGTGAAATTGGCAGCCTACAAAAATGAGATGTCGCCCTTCTTTCTTTATGCCCAGGGCCTAGGTCTCCATGCGGTGCTCGGTAAGGGGTAGACTCCTGCACAACAGAACTGAAATGAACCAACTATTTAACTATTTACATTGGGACATGCACATGTGCAATGTCCTGACAGAAGATCTCTCTCTACCTCGCTCCCTCTCTTCCTCCCTCCCTCTGGCTTTATCTTGGTATACTGGTATCTCTGCATTCAGTCGAGAAATGGACAACGCAGCAAAACACAACTTGAAGTATCGTATATTTGTGACCTGATTTCAGGCTATGTACTGTTATGAAACGATGTCATGGTGAATCATCGCTGACCCCAAACGTATAAGCAAACGGAAGGAATACCCAAACAACAAGTATACCTAGGTCACATGATATCAATCAAGATCAAATAACATATAATAACATCAAATCATATGGTTATAGATATTCATCCCCGAACGTTGTATTCTAGGTATTGACCTGAACCAAACTCCCGCCAGTGGCGATGTGACTGAGGCCAAAGCTTCGGAACAGCCGCAGGTCAAGAACTCAGGAGCCGGGGTGGCTGTATGGTTTGAAGGTCTACACTTTTTGAAAACCATTGAGCAGCACTGGATTCTGCTAGAACCACGGGGTGATTCCCATTTTTTTTTCAACCCTTGCAATCTAGCAGGCAACCAATGAGATGAATTTTTGTAGCATGAGAATAGAACCTCCATTTTTTCACCTCTTGCCAAAATAGCATACCAGAAAACAATGCTATCCCATGCTACCCCGAGCAACAAATTTTCATTGGCAGGAGTCTTCCAGCGACCTGCGGGATCTCCATAAAATGAGGCACTGGGAAATGCTGGGAATGCCCCGTCGTAGCAGTAAAAGTCTTGGACCGCTTGGGCCTGGGTAGACATGAATAGGAAATCTCTGCGTGCTGTACAAAAAAAAATTAAACGATGGTAAATCCAATGCCAACCTCCCATTGAGGGTTTGAATCCTACTCATTTCTGGCAAGTCATTGGAGGAGGTTTATAGTTTTGGGTTTAAAGTTTATCATATTGTTTGCCTCTCTTTTGTTGGATAGCCATAGAATATTTTCTTCTTTATTCCATTTTCACACACATTCATCATGAACTAATCATAACTTATACGCATCACAAAGCCCCATGCTCTACAACAATTGACTCCCACATTGAACAAAACCCTGACAGTCAAACTTAGGGCACAATTATCCACAGGAAAAACGACCCGAAAACCACAACTCTACCCTTCTTCTGATGCGACATACAGGTATCCTCTACATAGTTGGTACTGGCTCATGCGTTGGAAAACAGCTTGAAGACTCTGGCATTTTGCGCACTTGCTGGCTGCCTGTCGTTCCTTCCAAACGCATGGCCTACAATGTCTGACCAAAAGTCTGCCTGCTGATATTTCACATTTCCGAACATGGCCGAACAGCATTTTGTGCTTTTCGTGTGGAGAGGGGAAATGAACGCAACTACCTGTTAGCGACTAGCGTTGTCAGGCACATGGGAATCCTTACCCAACCCCAGCCTTTGATCCTTTTGCAACGCAGTCCGTGGCTCAAACGTCCTCCCAAGGGCAGCATGAGGCCACGGCTAATCGAAAGGTCGGCACGGTGAAGTCAGTGTGGATGTATCCCGAGCATCCAGCCACCTGCAAGGTCTTGCTGAAGATCCTTGTTATAGCAGCCTGTCTGGTGTGTATCTTTGGCAGGTGTCGACTGAAGTGATGGGGTGCCGACCCTGGCTTCACTCGGGGAGCTGCATTTCTGACGCGATGTTTCGGTCGAATAAACCTTTTCAATCGTCTTGCTGCGACCATTGATACATGTTGATGCCACATTGTCACACTGTGTCTTGAGATCCTGACTTCATGAAGAGCCATGTTGACTGCCTGCATTTGATGCTTATCGAATGACATGACTGTGCGAGACAAGGTGAGCGCCTGATAAACCAATGCAATGGATGTGGGAGGATCATGCTGAACTGAATAACTTTTGACTTTTCACATCTTGTGGTGATGTGGACCTGACCTATCCAGGGCCAAATGCTGCCTGAAGCTTAGAAGATGGTGACAGGATTGCTTCACAAGTCCTAATAAATCAAACAGGTTGCGATCGGGAGAACATTTCATGTCAGCCTATCAAATCACACTTTTTTTGTTCGGTTGTTGTCTGATCTCAGAGATGGCTTGAGAATTTCTGAATGGCACAAACAAGTTTCTGTATGTTTCTGTAACCATCCACAATACAGCTCTTTGTGTCACGAGTTGCAGCCTTAACTTGTATAGTGTCTAGCCTCCAGTACCATGTTGCGTCTCTGCACGGCTTTTTCTGAACTGCCAGGTTGTGCGACTCCGCATCCATATGGATCAATAACGCATCAGGACGTTCCTTTTGCCTAATTGTCAAGCAATGGCTTGCAGATTTTCTACGTGAGAGCTGTGGAGAAAAGTATCTCCGCGTTGTGGTGCCGTTGCGTGGTGCCATTTGATCTTTGACAGTCAATCGTGACTGTACTAGCCTGGTGAGAAGGCTGTGGTTCCTTAGCAGCAGCTTAGGCTTTTCGCTGTCCGAGCCACCACCCCTATCAACATTGGTAGGCGGAGCCTCGTGAAGGGGCTTCCTAATTCAAATCAACTATGAGCTCAATGCGTGAAGACAAGGACAAGAACCAGGTTCCAACGTGGAATGGAGAGCAAGCTCTATGGCCAGACTGTGTTCGCCAATGCCGACTAGCTTACGAAACTTGTGAGAAGAGGAAGAGAAAAACTCTTAGGACCAAAGCTAGCAATGATACTGACCTTGAAAGCTTGGGACGTGACTTACAATATCGATCATGATCGCCTTCGAAAGTCCAACGGTGTCAAGTACCTAGTCAACCATTTGCAAGAGCGCTTGGGCAGGACCTCCATACCGGACAGTGGCCAAAAGCTTGAAGAGTTGTTCATCAAGTTGCGCCGTTATCCAGGAGAAGCCTTTTCGACATGGGCATCAAGAGTGATGAAGGCCTACAAGAATGTGAAAAGAGCCTTGGCACGAGTGAAGAAGGATACCAGACAAGATGTTGAGACACCCAAGTCGAAAGCTAGGTCAGTGGAAGAAGATACATCACCTCAGCGATCCTCAGCGTAGAACACACAGTGAACCTCAAGGTGAACCTCCTTCACCCCAAGCCGGTCGTGAACATTCAGAGGGAGAACCGAGCCCGGGGGAACAAGCATATTCTCGGGTGCCGCAAGCAGATCCTAATGCAGAAGGTTAGGAGAACGATTGGTGGCATCAAGACCAATGGTACCGATGGAGAAGTTGGCATGGCCGGTCATGGAGCCGACGTGATGAAGATGAGTCGTCAGAGGAAGAAGAGCCCGACACTTTGACTTGGGCAGGTTTGGAAATTGCTGATCAAGAAGTTCTTCCTTCTGAGATCTTAGGGTGAATTCTCTTGCGCCGAGCAGGACTGTCGGCCGGAGCCCGTTTGATGGTTCTGGCGGCAGCCCACAACTCACTGCGCTTCGAAGACGTGGAGAAAGCCTTGCGTGATCAACAGGAAGAGCTCCTGATGACCGAAGGGTACAACCGACGCAATTCACCCCATCACAAGAGAACGTACTGGCTAGAAGAGGATGAATAATGGGCCCTGGTGATGGACCATGCCATAGATGATAAGCAGATCACTCCGGAAGTCATTCACTGGGTTGCCCGTCCTCCAATGGAGCAGGCCTTTGCTCATGACTTTGAGGAAGAGGAGGAGACCTATTATGATGGGATCTACGAATGGGCATACTGGCAAGATGATGGCGAGTGGCATGCATCTTTAGATGATGGTAGCTACGTTGCCTACTCCGAGATGAAGCCGTGGCTTGAGATTGAGAATGTCATGGCAGTGGATGCTGAGCTTGGTAAGGAGCTCTATGAGATCTACAACAACTTTGAGAACAAGGCGCGTACGTTCAGAGAGTCTAGATGGGCCATGCACCAAAAGGGAAGAATCGGGGTTTCTTCAAACCTAAAGGAAAAGGAAAAGGGAAGAGTAAGAAGGGTTTTAAAATGTTTTAAAGGGATTAACTCTGTAGTTGGCTCTCCCCCTAAGAACCCCATCTTCTTTAGTAAAGGGTCTGGTAAAGCATCAACAGCCTCGAGTGTGAGTCCAGTCAACAAGCCCGGATACAGCGGGTGCTTCATATGTGGAGATCTACAACATGACTTCCGCACTTGTCCCAAACACATTCAAGGAAGTTCTCCAGGACAGAAGGGGACTGGCAAGGTACCTAGGAGCAGTGACATCGCAGAACTCCCTAGCACGTTTCAAACCTAAGGAAGTTGTGAGATCCATGTTATTGTGCAATCCGATTCTTTCTGCCTTTCCCCCCATCTGTTGAATGCACGCTGTGAGAGGACTCTCCGGCCCAGAGCATACTTCCATGTGGTCCAAATGAGAAGAGAAATCATTCATGGCTGCAAGTACTTCATCCAGCGAGGCTTTCAAAGACTGCTCAATCAAAAACTGAATTTGTTGCAAAGAGCTGAGCACTACACTAGCGTCTTCACTTTCCTTAGTACGTTGATCTTGTTTCACCTCACTGGACTCAGCGGTGAGGCCATCCAAGTACTGCTTGTAAGATCTTGTAAGCAATTAGCTCTGGCCCTGCGTCACGTCCTGCTCCACCGGCTCCCATCCATCTTTTGCTCCGGTGACACTTCGTTCTCGCGCTTCGGCGCTTTCCTGCCCGGGTGCGTCTTCATCTTCTCGTCCTCCTCCTTCGGAGTGATCTCCTCTTTCTTGGTCTCGAGTTTCAGGCGGTGGTCTTTCTTCTCCATCTGCACTGCCTCCAAACGTTTCATCAGCGACTTCTCGGCTGCGTCTAAGGCGATCCCTTGGGCGGACAGATCGTCCACTCCCAGCTCGATGGCAGTGGCAACATCCGCTGGAAGAGGGCCTGAGCTTCGGCTCGTCCCCTTCGCCCCCACTGCTGGGACGTATGACAACCGCAGCTGGCACTTAAGCTTTTGTTGTTGTAAAAGGTCTTTGAGTTTTTATAAAAAAATAAAACCTCAGATGTGGCTTTGAATCAAACCAAAAAGTTTTTACTTGCCCACCCTGTTTTTCACAATTTGTTCTTTCTAAACTTAAACTCTTAGGGTTTGTGTTTTGTTTTACTTGCTCACCGTTTGTTTCACAATTTGTTCTTTATAAACTTAAACTCTTAGGGTTTGTGTTTTGTTTCACTTGCTCACCATTTTTCACAGTTTGTTCTTTCCAAACTTAAACTCTTAGGGTTTGTGTTTTGTTTTTGTGCCTCCATACAACATTGCCCCAAAATGCACCTTTACCAAAATGCGCACGGTCAGGGCTGGCAAGTAACAACCCATGTGTTTTAATACAAAAACACTGGCTTAATACTTGAATATGTCCACCATGCTACCAAAAACTTAAACTCTTAGGGTTTGTGTTTTGTTTTTGTGCCTCCATTTAACATTGGCCCAAAATGCACCTTTACCAAAATGCGCACGGTCAGGGCTGGCAAGTTACAACCCATGTGTTTTAATAGAAAAACGCTGGCTTAATACTTTAATATTTCCACCATGCTACCAAAATCAAAAGACCTGCAAGGTTCAAGGGTTCAAAGGGAAAGAGTTGACACTGTGATAAAGAAACCGTGTTTAATGATGTCACAAGTTGATGCCTGATAACTACAAAATGCTCATGGTGTGAAAAATGCCACCTTAACAGTGACATGAGACTACGACTACAACGACGACTACCACTACGACTATGCCTCAGCCTCAGTCAAAAATGATGTCTTAATGGTGTCACAATGATGCCTCAGTGGTGTCAAATAAGTGATGCCTTAATGGTGTCATAATGATGCCTTTATGGTGTCAAATAGGTGATGCCTCAATGGTGTCACAAAAGTGATGCCTTAATGGTGTCACAAGATTGATGCCTTATTGGTGTCAAAAAAGTGATGCCTTCATGGTGTCACAAACTTGATGCCTTACTGGTGTCAAAAAAGTGATGCCTTCATGGTGTCACAAAATTGATGCTTTACTGGTGTCAAAAAAGTGACGCCTTTATGGTGCCACAAACATTGATGCCATGATGGTGTCATGCATTCATGATGCTGTGACAGTGCCATGCAACAGTGAAGATTAAGATACCCACCAAGTCCATACCTCAGCATCGCGCGCTGTCAGGATGGAGTTTCTACCCCCTGGGCTTTACATGGGTATGGCCAAACAAAATGTTAGTTTTTGGGCCATTTTTCTGGGCTTGAAGGCTCCCAGGTTCAAAGCTAACAAACACCAGAAAGAACCATTCAAAGTCTTCAAGAATATTTTGTCTCATAGTTTTGGTCCCCATCTAAAACTATCCATACAATACTGATTGGTTAGTGACAGTGAAGTGCCAAACCCCACAAAACATGTTTGCCCCTGGATGAAACAGACCCCCATGGCCGTTTTGTTTTTGGCACCATCACGGCGCCAGTAAAAGACACCATCACGGCATCTTATCATTTTCGTGGCACCATCACGGCGCCAATAAAAAACACCATCACGGCATCTTATCATTTTCGTGGCACCATCACGGCACCACAAGAAACCAGGTTTATAACCCCCATTCATAATAGATATGATTGTTATCTAGGATAAACATTAGTAAACAAATATATCTATATATAGTTTTAATAGATTAGGAATTACATACATGCCAGTATAAGACACCATCACGGCATCTTGTCACGGCGCTAGCAAAAGACACCATCACGGCATCTTGACCGAGGCCCGGATTCCTGCCTGAACTTCGTGAAGCGCATGCAGTTGCGTTCCCTGGCCTTGGCCGGATGCAGCATGGTGCCAGGGGCCAGATCATGTGTTTCGGTGTATTTAGCATGAAACATGCAAGAACATGTATGGCTCCATTCCACCCAACCGCTTGCTGGCTTGTTTGCCACCGAGCTTTCAATCCGATGGAGGCATGCTGGGGATGAAAGATGTTGACAAAAACCACGTGGGTATGGCTCAAAATGTTGAATCTGACACATCCATTCCTCATGACATTCAATCATTTTGATGATGATTGCGAACTATGACCTTTCAAACTGCTAAACATCAATCTAGCAGGTTTGAACCGGAACATGTTTGAACTCAATCAATGCAAAACTGGTTTTATTTCGCTATCATGTCGTGTCAACAGATGGAATTAAGCACATAGGATGTTTTGCTCATATTTTTCCTTAAATTTCAAACCTGCTTGACATAAAAACTAGTACACGCTGCTCGGCCACCATCAGATGTTGCAAAATGTTGCAAACAGAAAAAATAGAATTATCCAGAAATAACCCGGAATATATTGGAGGATAACATGAACAAGCAATGGGTTAAT